CATTGACTGCTCTCCACTTTCTTGGTGGCTCAGAGAAGAACAACAACAGACATACCCTCGTCTCTCTCGAATGGCTGTTGATATCCTCTCGATACCAGCCATGTCTGCCGAGCCGGAGCGCGTCTTCTCCGGGGCGAGACGCACAATTTCATGGGACCGGTGCCAATTGGGTAGTCGTACAATTGAAAGAGGCGAATGCATGAAGAGTTGGATCAAAAGCGGGATAACACAAGGTTATCCGGTAGATTTACTTGAAGCGGAAGGTATTGAGGACAACAACGTAGAGGGGTTAGATGATTCGGCTGGCTGGCAGAGCTCCAACCCAGATTCGGTTTAGTTGATAATGTAAATGACGTCATTTCTTAGTTTCCATATGTATGGATTAAGTTCCATATGGGTTGCATTCCATATTCCATATTCCATAAGGCGCCGTATGGAGTATGGAGTATGGATAGAAAGCCTGGTCGTGGCGGTAACATGATACGATACAACGCAACTGGCCCGTGCATGTTGCTGGGTCATCTATAGTTATAGTTTTATTTACCCCCCTTTTCTCTTACTCTTATATGAAGTATCGAGTCATTGTGATCGCGACAAGTAACAAATCGGCTGCACAAGCTATAGGTAACCCCCGCCAGCAGTCAGGTCAAGGACATATACGAGAGATATATGATGCTATAGAGAAGCTTCGAGGCGATGGAAACAGAGTCAACCTCATCTGGCTACCACGCGACAGCGAGCTCAAAATCCAGAAGACAGCCAAGATATCAGCTCGTGACGCAACGGAGCCGTACATGACACCGCGGAGAGGAATGATCAAAGCAAAGACCACAATTCTTAATCGAACAAGGGCAGATCTACGAATGGAGAGGAAGCTACCAGATGGAGTGGGCAGGCATTCTAGAAGGGTCGACTCGGCTCTGCCTGGTAAACATACCCGCCTGTTGTACGATCAATTATCATGGAAAGAGGCCAGCGTGCTGGCACAACTGAGAACCGGAATGGCGCGACTGAACGGTTACCTATATCAGATCAGGGCAGCACCGACGGATGAACGTCCGTGCGGGCGGGCAAAGGAAACGGTAGAGCATTTCCTCTTTCGATGCGTGAAATGGACGACACAACGCAAAGAGATGTTTCAGAGTATAAATGAGAAACGCGGCAACCTCTCCTTTCATCTGGGAGATAAGGCAGCATCAGACGGTCAGGAATGGAAGCCAGACATGGACGCGGTGCGGGCCACGATCAGGTTCGCGATCGCTACAGGTCGCTTGGAACGGAGATGACGGGAACACTACTAACCTAGTAACATTTTATCAACACTAGCCGATAACCTATGACGCCCTCAAATAATCAACAGCAGGCATTGCTTCAGCCGCCGAAGATAGGAAACTGAACACTTGGAGGAATTGGGCTTCAAGTTGACCTGCTACTACTAACAATCACGAGGACTAAGAAGAAAAGCAATGACTAGACTGGAAGGAACAAGGTGAGAATTGTATGGGCTTGGCGAGAGCAAGGCAATACCTAGCGAAGTGTATGTACCTTTAGCTTCAGAGCCCATTGGGCGTTGGCCTACCGGGCGTAATAGACTTGTATTATCAGGCCCCACACAGGAAACAAACACCACGTAGAAAGGCCTTGATCGACCGAGATGGCCGCAGACGAGCGTGCTCGTGCCGCCCGGAGGGCGGGCCTTCAGGCGAAGAAGGACGAACAGCCGGCGAACACGGCACGGAGTTATGCTGCGAAGCAGCGGGAGTGGAAGGCGCGTTCCCCCGGCCGCCGCCCTCTCTTTTCCCCTTTGCCCTTGTCTCTTTTTTTTACATAGAGTCCCATGGGCGGCTAACAGACGAGAACTTATAGGCCTGGTGCCGTACGCCTCGGGCTGCGGCAGA